GGGTAACAAAAAAAAAAAAAAAAAAAAAAAACACATCTTAGTAAAACCAATACCTTCTCAGCTTCGCATCGAAGCTAAAATTGTCTCTTAATTTTTTTTTATGAAGTGAACTCATTCTTGTAAAAATAACAAAATATGTGCGATTTTGCGTATTATAGAATAAACACAACTTTAGTTTTGTATAGTTATATTTTTAATAGGGTTTCTTATTTATAAACAACAATAACATTTTTGTTATTATTATGAACATCATTTTAAGTTTAAGTTAAAATTGATAAATGCCACTTTTATCACATATACTGACTCATAAAATAGTAATCTCGGGAATCGTTGAATTGTCCAAGTATGCTAATAATCACACATGTGCAATGTTCGATTCTTTTTTTTTACATTTACCGTGTACCTCTAACATTATCTAAATGGAACTTTTTTGATCCAATAAAGTAATTGTAAATAGAATCATTATCATGTATTGAACATTATTTTCCTTAAAGTCATACTTATTGTTTTCTAGTTAAGTTTTAAGAGTTGTTTTTAAATCAGTAAAAGTATTTTTATTTTAAGTTTTTTGGGGGGGTTTTATTATTTAATTAATTAAAATGTCACTTCGTGAAAAAATTTTTATAATCGGCCATAAGGAACATCAAATCACGGGAAGTAAATTACCATCTAGAGGAGATTGTTTAAAAGTTTTAATGTATAATATACGATTTACATAATTAAATTTAAACGAAAGTGCTGCTTTAGTCATAGAAGAATGTTTAGTTTTTTGGAAGAAAGCTCGAATACCGACTCAAGAACTTCATAAATGTAAAGACAAGTTGAAAAAATTGTATGAGAAATGGAGATCATTAACAAAAAATTCCAAAAAAATTTCTGAAAATTTAAGACAAAAAGAAAATATGTTTTTAGAAAAAATCAATGATTTATTTGATATAGCCCACCAAAACGCACTCGAATTGATTAAAATTGAAGAAGATAGGCTATGTGGCGGTCGAATATTCTAGAATGTCCGGCCGCCGCCGCCTCTAGAAGATTCGTCGCTCTACATAAGCGTGTGGCGGTCGAATGTCTAGAGAGTTCCGACGCCGCCTCTAGAAGATTCTTCTGACTATTTAAGGGCAAGATCGTCGCTCCAGTCAGTCAGTCGATCAGTCAATCACTTACGCATTCTGTCTTACACGCGCTTCGTTTCTCGCTGTTATTTATTAGTTCGTTGTAATACAGTTCGTCTCTCGCTGTTATTTGTTATTTGTTAGTTCGTTGTAATATAGTATAGTTGTTATTAAATCGTAAAAGTGTTTATTACTTCTATATATTACACCTCGCTACATTGGTGACCTCGACGATAACAAGTATGAACGCCGAAGAACTACGCAATCAATTGGAGGAGTTACGCCAAGAAAACGCTCGCCTTGCAGCACTACAGGCACAGCAATATCCAACAGCTTCAGTGAATCGCGTTGCCGTCAAGTTGCCACCTTTCTGGTCCGAAAGACCGAGCTTATGGTTCTCACAGGTTGACTCGCAGTTTGCAATCTCGGGAATAACAAGTGAGGAAACAAAATTTAATTATGTTGTGGCTCAGCTTGATACGCGTTACGCCGCCGAAGTAGAGGATATTATTACTAACCCACCGCCTACTGAACGCTACAAACATCTACGCGCAAAACTCGTTGAACGGTTGTCTATCTCAGAAGAACAACGTGTGCGGCAACTCATCAATGAAGAAGAACTAGGTGACCGTAAGCCATCACAGTTCTTACGACATCTCCGTTCCCTTGCCGGCACTACTATATTACAAGACAATATTTTACGTCAACAACAACGACGAACAATAAAAAGGAACTCGATGTTTTAGCCGCCATTGAAGCACTCGCAAAACAGGTAAGCGAATTATGTGCTAAACGCCCGCAACGTTCCCGCTCTAGGTCACGTAACCGTTCAAACGTGGAACTGACTAACGGCAAAGGATGGTGTTGGTATCATAGCACTTATGGAGAAAAGGCTGCCAAATGTAAGGCTCCCTGCAAGTATCAGGAAAACTCCAACGACAGTCAGTAGCGGCGGCAACAGACTGTCCGAACCCGAGCAGCCGCCTGTTTGTTACAGATCAAATAACAAAACGCCAATTTTTAGTCGACTCCGGTTCCGACTTATCTTGTTACCCTCAACGGCTACTACGGGAACGACGCCATGCCACCGATTACGACCTCAGCGCGGCCAACAACAGTACCATAAAAACTTACGGGACGGTCCATCTCAATTTGAATTTAGGACTTCGACGCAGTTTCCCGTGGAGTTTTATTGTCGCCGACGTGAGTACTCCTATCATTGGTTCCGACTTCATGGCATACTACCACTTGCTGCCGGATTGCCGTACCAAACGTCTTATTGATGGTGTCACAGGCTTGGCTGTGAATGGTAAGGTTTCCTCTGTAAATCAATGCAGCATAAAATCAGTTGCCAACACTTCCCCTTGGGCTGCACTTCTCGCAGAATTTCCGGACATCACACGTCCCACCGGATTGCCCAGGACAATAAAACATCAAACAGTGCACCACATTCTTACGACACCTGGTCAGCCAATAGCCTGCCGCCCACGCCGCTTAGCTCCAGGTAGACTAAAAATCGCCAAACA